TCAATGCTGGCCATAAAAACATTTTTTTGATATTGTTGGAGTAGCTAGGCATGCATATATCACTTTCTGGTGGAGGTAAAGGTATAGTGGCAGATGGTTTCACATTCTATTGCTGATTAACTGATGTAATAGAAAGTTCATCCTAATTATATATTTTGATAATGGTCAGACAACTTTGACCTGCTCATACTCTCCCAGCCCAACTTACATCATAGGGTTATTCTTCTGGAAAATTTGGAGAAGGAAGCATTAGGTTTACCATTTTGAATTGTGCAAAATAAAGGCAGGACATAAATAAAAAATAAATCACTGTCCACTGTAGCAAAGCAAATATAATGGTTTTTCTAATTCTAATCTTACATTATGTAGCCTTGAAATTCTTTCAATATTCTTTAGAATGGATGGAAGCAGTTTTGTCATGAGTATTGGTATGAACAAAACTTAAAATATTGCCATGATACACATGAAGCATTGCAGATCTGTGGCAAATTCTTATATATCTGTACCTCACCAGCTTTGGGGCAACCTGATTTGGGGCAGCCTCACTGGCACCTGCTCTGGTTGAAAGGAGAGCTATATAGTTGTGTGATGGGGAGAGCAATCCTATGTCTAATAAGGGCAAAGGGAGAAAACAGAAAGAGAATTTGGAGCTGGAAAAATAAGTGAGAAGGAAGAAATTGGTGGACAAAAGAGGAGTCGGGAATATGGGGGCACAGAGAACATCTTGCCCAGAATACCTTAAAATGTTGCTGTGGGGAAGAAGCACATTAAGAAAAAAATGTTCTGAGTAATTATGAGCGATAGTTCATTTCTAGTGAAACTGTTCTTGTCAAGTCTGCTGTTAAGGAATAGACAACTGAAGAATACAAGAAAGTATTGTGTGTGTGAAAGGAAGTTTACCTCAAATTACTCACAGTGTAGGAGGAAAGGGGAGGAGAGGGGCAACCATCCTTTGGAAGAAAAAAAAGAGGAACATGATGACCATGCTTTATTTCGTATCCGTTGTTTTGGTCTTGCTTTCCTGTTCTCTTGAACGTTTAGTGTTCTCATTCTCATTCATGTCATTTGTTTTGCTTTCATGCCAGAGCACTGTTTTATTTGGTTAACCGCCTGTTTTGAAGCAACACCTCCAGAACACATGTACTGTTGCAGACAAGAGATCATTGGTTGCAGAGGTAAACCTTCTTTTACATTTCCAACATCAGCATGGAAATCTTGAGAGTTTGACAGACTCATGTTCATGTCTTTTCAAGTAGCTCTCTGTGTGAGTTAGGGACAATCACAATTCCCAGTTCAGACTACCTCACAGGATTGTTACGAGGATGAAACTAAAGCAGGAATATAGATTACCATACTGACAGCCTTGCCTAGTACATAATTGCAAATTAAATAAATATCAAATATATTTTGATTGGCCAACTGTTAGGACAATAAAAGAAAAACCCTTAGAGCAGGGATCCTCAACCTCCTTGTGCGAGCGGCGTTCGTCCGCCGCTCGTGCCAAATCATCCCCCTTTCCCCTGTTGCCTTATAGGATTGGGGACCACTGCCTTATAGGGTCCTTTCTAGAAGTACAATCCCCATTATTTCTTTTCAAATATTCTCAGTTCAGACATATTTTTTCCTGCTGTTTTTAATCGTATGAGAGCTAATCAGCTGAATCTGTTTTAGCAAACAGCCAACATGGGACAAGTCAGAGACTGACAGCAGTTACTTGCCCCAGGCAATCTCTGGCAAGTGGAGGACATAATTCCTTTTATCACTTTCGTCAGATTTGATGTACCACATCTGAATCTTGTGAATTGACCTGAGGCTACATATAGGCTAGTAAGGGGGAAAATGTGCTGTTTTATTAAATCTGCTCTATGTCCTAAAAAAATATTGAATTATAGAATGACTTTTTGACTACTTTATTATACTTAGCATTTCTAACTGGAGTGATTATTCCCCTCTAGTGTTGGCTTTGTAGGAGGAGATAATGTAAATAAAGCTACCATTAAGTTACAGCAATAAAACTATCCTGAGAAGTACTGTATCATACCTGGATAAAGTATCACGATGTGCGAACACAGCTTCTGAGAGAAAACAGTCCTACAGACAGTATTGAATCAGATAGAATAAAAGTCTGAACAGCAAAATGTCCTAAGAATTAAATTCCTAAGCATAAAAAAGGGCAAGGCCAGTTTAGCATGATTCCTGCTTTGCAGAGATATAGAGTGACTTCCTAGCGTGAACCAATCTGAGCATACTTTTAAGAATTTTGTCCAACTTACTGTTGGGGTTTATCTTTTCCTTATGTTTATCAAGTTCCCAGATTGCCTTAGTTTAAATTGGTGTTTAAAATTTAAATTCTCAAAGTACACTCAAGCATGATATAATAATACCATCATTGCTAACATAAATTTTCTTGAAAAGGCAGGAACTAGAATAGTCTTCCCCTTCCAATTCAGTAATGGATGCTGAAACATATACATCCAATACTTTAAACACAACATGCCACATTATACCATAATACCTGTTGTTAATCTAAAACTTGCCTGTAATAGAGTAGAAAACATGTCTGAGAAGATTACAGTATATACCAAAATTGTACCCAGGAGTCAGTTGTACCGAACACTTCCTACTGTAAGAAACTAGTTTTGTAAAGAAAAACGTTTTAACACAAATGGTATGTATAATTCAAGTTTATAGTAGGGATTTACTGTAGTCATATCTATAGAAAAGATTGTGTATTTAATAGCATTCATGATTATGCATTTCTCATTCATTCTAACAGAGTGTTTCCAAGCTAAACTTTAGGAAACATTTGGAAAAAGCTGTCTCATGCAAGGAAAGTCTGTTTTCCTGCAAAGGTTAGTTGGCCTTATTTTTAATTTTCCAGTGTTAATATTTTTCCATTTTTGCAAAGGAAGTGCAAAAAGAACTGCCAGTACTAGAAATTAAATTCCTTATGTACAGATCTAATGATACACAGCCAATAATTACAGTTACATCATTAAAGCTAACACCAATCTGGCATTTTCAGGAGCAATAGCACAAATGAAAAGAATCCCTGCAGAACTCATATTTTAAAAGATACTGAAAAAGTTGGATGTAAAATCTAGTTAAGGTTATAATTTAGCTATAATTTAGCTAAGATAAATACACTTACTTGGATATTTCCTTGAATTTAATCAAACCCACATCTAAGAGGGTTTCACTATTACGGCTATAAGCTATTGTTCATTGAATCATAACTTATGATTTAGTTTTATTCTAAACGGTATGTATTTTATTTCATATGCATGTAATATATCTAATATATATTTCAAGAAAAACTCATGCTTGTTTAAACAGACTGTTGAAAACCGACCTTTTTGTTTTTATATTTCTTTTTAAAACAAAGAGGTTTAATTATTTACTTCCAATAATTCAACCAATTAATTATAAAATGTACATTTGAAATACTGCTTACCTCTCAAAATAAAATGCACCTAGGGCATGAGTCTGAATTCTCTCCCAAGCTTGCTTTCTTATAGATATGCAAGAGCACCATCTGCTGAACACACCACTATATTTTTGACTAAATATTGTCTAACCTTTCTTAGTAGATATAAAAAATAAATAAAATCAAAAGAACAAATGGAGTGGTAAAAACATAATAGTCTAAACAATAATTATAAACAAAATTGATCTATAAGCCAAACAACTGCTCATGTGGGTATTAAAATGCCTGCTACATCTTTATCATAAGGAAATGAGATTTGTTTGAAGCTATCCCTACTAATAATTTCATTTGATAAGGTTGGAGCAAAACAACACTAATGACTATTTATGTCACTTTACAGTAGTAATGGCTGGATAATACTATGAGAATAATTTAAATCAGTGTTGAAGAGATGGTCTGAGACATGATGTAAGTTAGTAACTCTGTGGTTCCAAATGGAGAACATAAAATCAATTCAGTGTAATTATCCAATGAGAATTATTCTACAAATACAATATACATAATTTTAATAATTTGGGAATGAAAGCCACCGTACTAAATCAGGAAGGGAGAAAATTCTTTCTTCATAAAAAACTTCATAATAATCTTTCCATGAGGATGTTCTTCAGTCCTTTTGCCATATTTTCCCATTCAATACTCCACTATTTATTTATTTTTTAAAAAGCAAAAAAACCACACTGTAAAAGTCCCTCCTCCTTCATTAAACCTTGAGTCCATTACTGTTTTCCTGTAACAGTGTTAAAGCCAAGGGAACAAGCTATTCCTATAATTCCTGTAAAAATATCCAATATACAGGCTACAACTCAGATTTAAAATTATACTGATAACATAAAGTGGAAACAACTGACATGTAGCACAATTTCAAGACTACACAGAAGTCAGTGCTATTATTAAGTTCACTAAAATTTAGGAAAAGGTAAGCGTAGGTCATTTGATGCCTATTGGCATATAAATAATATAAATTGTAGATAGCATCAAAGCTTAAGGCTGCAATCTACAAATTAGGGTTAAGCCCAATGAATTCAATGTGAACTACTTCTGAGTGGAATGGAATGACTGGAATTATACCTTTATAAACCAACATTTCTTTCCTCAAGTGTAAAGGTTTAAAATAAACTCCTTAAACTTGAATAAAATCATATGTATGCTGTATAATATTCACTGAAAATTTAAAAAATTATAATTTACATTAATTGCATGAAACTCTGCACCTTATTTTTCTGGAATCTTTAGAATTATGTTTTAAAATTTGAAAACATTTTCTTTTTTAATTCTAAAATAGGTTATTACATATTTGGGGATTGAAAGGAAAATATAAATTTGAAGTACATAAAATAATGAATCATATCCATTGGAGGGATTAAAATTTATGAAAGTCTTACACTAATTTGGTTACCGTATACGTAAAGATATTCTCTTAAACCAGAAAATAAATCTGAATATGTTTCCTGAATTAACAAAAAGTATTTTTTTTTTTTGCTTTTCATTTGAATACAATAATTCATATTGAGAATTTTATTTAGGCCGATATTATAGAAAAGAGATTTTATTTTAAAAGAAATTACATGGCACAGTTAATTAATCAAATCTTTTGTTCTATTAAATTCATGTGTTTTGCTTCGGGGTGTCACAGTATGGAGCATTGTCTCGCAGCACATCCTTTCTTGGTAAAAGCCCTGGAAGAAAAAGACATTAATATTAGATTTTCCACACTATTGTTTAAACAAAGGCTACACTGTCTTTCTAGTACTTTATAATGGAGATTGTAGAATTAGAAGCATTATTTTCTACAAATAGGAATCTGTGAAACTATAAACTAATTACAAACACACATATTTAAATGTTCTGCCTACTGCAAAGGCCATATTCTTTATCTGTTTGCCATAGTCAGATCATGGCAAAAAAAATCCATATTTAGTTAAAACATTCATTCACGTATTAATCCAAATGTTATTTGTTTCAATTGGTGGTGGGTTTCCTGAGTTTTAGGCAGGAATTTTTCCAGTCATTTCTGGAGATACCATTTTAGCAAGTGACAGCATCTACCTGGGCTTGGAAATTAAGCAGAATTGGGCCATACTTGGTTCTTGGGTGGGAGAGAAGATGTGAAAACCACAGCTGTAGGGGAGTCTAAGAAGTTAAGCAAATAAATCTAGGAAGAAAGAAATGGCAGACCATTTCTATGCCATTGTATATTTATGTTATATGATAAAGAGCTGAACTCTAACTGAGATCATCCTTATCCTCCTTGAGTGTGCAGATATTGAATCTGTGACTTCTTGCCCAGAAACCAAAAGCTTTATTACTGAGACACAAAAACCTGTAAGTACTGTAGCTAATAATGACTTGATGAATGCAGTACTCAATTACTTCTTACTCTTCAGTAAAAAAAAAAGTCAAATATGATTATTCAGTATAATGGAGAACAAATGTGGCATGTTGGTTAAGGTGTCAAACTAAATCTGTGGACATCTCAGTTTGTGTCCAGTCTCAGCTATGGAAGCTTAAGGGGTAACTAAGGGATTGACATGCTATCATTGGTGTCAATAATTAAGTGGATAAATAAAAAAAAGATGTTCATACAATGTATAGCAGCTTTAAAAAAAGGCAAATTTCCATGCTACAGATCATTAAGAAAATGCCAACAGAAAGTTATGGTGCCTTCACGTCTGGAATTCTAGTTAAGGTTTTGATGCAAACTGAATCTGTACCTATTTGGAATTAAAAGTGGTTTAATCTGTTTGATATTAATCATAACATTTTGTATTTTAAGTTGCAAAGATCTCACATTCCACAGGAAGTACCATAGGATAGAAAAATAGACAAACCATATACATTTTATTGGAGGGGGGCTTTTCAGGTATGCATTATTTAATAATTCATTAGATACAATATTACAGAAATATATTATTGGAAACATTAATATGTTAAGATATTTAATTATTCAAGGTAGAAAGTTTCTATTAAAACAGATTTTGTTGGAATTAGGAAAACAGAAAAAAATTGATAGCTTATAAGGCTTTCATAACTATATACTGATATTTCTTCAATATTCCACTATTCATTAAATAACTACTTGAAACTAATATCAACCTGCCATAAACAGAATATATTGAAATCTACAGAATTTCTATTTACTATATTAATATATTAATTAAATCTAATTAAATTCTAAAAGATGATACTGTATAATTATCACATGTACCCCCTCTATCTATGGTATATATATTTATACCTAATAAATCAAATACACTGTACCAGGTTTAGCTTCATATATGTAGTAAACTGATTAATAAAAGTTGCAAGGCAGAGAATCTTTACTTACTTATTTTGTCGGCATCCACATAAACACCTTGTAGGACACATGTTCTAAGTATAACTTCCACATCTGAAGCTAATTTTATAAACTGGGTGGAGTTGGGAAACAGAATTAATAATTATTCACTAATATATTTTACTTCCTAATCATCCATGAAATGAACAATAAACCTTACAAGTTCATTGTACAATTCGTAACTGAGATTTTCAAAGGATGTTTATCTTTGATATTGACATTACTATATTTATATTACCTATGCTTTAATAGAATATGGATAAAGAAATATTCATCACGGGGTGGAGATTTAATCATAAAAACCCTGTATTTCCTTCCAAAACAGTGCAAAAGTGAACTTTTCAATATATTTCCTTTATGATCACTAAAGAGTGCCTGAAACTATCAGTTTGTTTAATGATATTTTTATATTCTTTTAATATTACATTTTCATGTTTGACATCTTTCATTAATTTATATTGCACCTACTACTAGAAATCATTACAATGCTATCATACTGCTCCAAAGAAGTACTCAGAGAGCTATCAACTGGATAGCACTAAAAAGATCTCACACTTTATTAAAATTCAAAGCCACAAAGCAGGAATATACTACTTGATATACAGATAGTAATTACAGTTTATTATGATTTCAAAACAGTTATAATTTTATCATTCCATCAAATTCATGAATAATTTGACAGTCTATTCCTCCAAATCTAAATAATTATCTCCATGAGTCAGCTTGTAAAAATATCTGAGTTACTGACTGAAAGAATAATAACCCATGAAAAAATATGCATGTGTTTAATTTAGCTATCAGTGTTCAATCAGCTAAAATTTTGTGAAAGCTTCATAAATTCATTTTTTTTACAGCTGAGATTTTAATGCTGTTGAACACATGAACACTTGCTGAATTTGACAGAAGTATTTTTTTTCTTCAGGCAAAAGAAACTAAATATCAGTAATTCAAGGAGTTAGAGCTGTTCCAATTTTGAGAGAGAGAAAATTACAGAATAACGGAATCTACTATGCCGATTTCTGCAAGAAGACTCTGTGTCAAAGATTGGTTCATTTAAAGGTGTCCATATATATATATCCTGCATCCACATAAAAGAGCTTGTTCCTCTTTTACAGGCAATTTATTATTCTTTTAAACAGGTTTTGCAGAGATGCTATTCTCCCTAATCTCCCTCTTTTTCACCTGTCAGATAACTAGCATTCATTTATAAATGGTGGCATTTTATGAAAAAAAAATCAGTGAGCGAGGGAAATGTTTCTGAAATGGAACAACAAAGAGAGCTTTTTCACTAGTTTGAAACTGGTGACAAAATATAATACTTATTAGCTCATGAGCTAATAAATTTCAAAGTAACAGTTTTGTCAGGCAGGGATTGATAGTATAATATTCTGCTAAATAGAAAGGCGACAAAATTGATCTTGTTTCAGGATCTTGATTGATTAATGGTCAGATTAAAAAAAAGCCTCTAGATCTATTTAGCCATGCTTTAATAAGAAAGAAGAAGTTGGTATCATTAAAAACCTAGATAGCTCCTACAGAATTCCAAAAGCTTAAGGTTTAGCTCTCCCAATATGGTTTCTCAAAGTGCCAGCAGGAACTTCTCAGAGTGCCCTCTAAGCTCTATATCCTATTTTATGTTTCTTTTTTAATATACATATATAATATACATATACATATTCATTAAATAAAATAAAAAAATATTTTCCAGAACATTTCTATAGAGGCATTCTTTAAAAATAAAAGTGATGAGGATTTTGGTTCAATGCTCTTTCTGCCTAAAGACAGAAACTTTTCCAAATGAGTGTGTAAACTGGAAAGTTTGGGGGGAGGCAAGAAAGGGTAATAGGAATCATCTAATCTGTTGTCTTTTAGTAAATTGTATGACTGGCCATGACCATACCACCAGAGTGGTCATTTTGCGGGAACGTACATAGCATATGTTTAAAATTCAAAAGTACCTACAAGTAGTTCTCACTTACTGATTGCCTTGTTCAGCATCCCTCAGTCATGTAATTATGATTTGTAAGCATTATCCTGGGCCTGACCTGTGTGGTCCCTGTAGCTGGAACAGCAGTGAGATTGCAGAGGAAGGGTTTACAAGAGACTAAGGAGGCACACAATGGGGAATAAACTAGGTTATTTGTGTATGGTGCTCATGGCTCCCAGCCCCAAACATGGTGCCGCCACCACCACCACCACATTCCAATGCACATTCCTTCCAATGCATATTCCCCATTGTGTGTCTGCATAGTCTTTTATAATCCCTTCCTCTCCAATGAATGTAAATACAAATATTAATCTCCTTTTTGCTAATTATCACAGCACTGGAGTGAGCATTTCAAGGGGCAGGAAAATGTGAAATGGAAAGCACAATCTTAGTCATTTGATTTCCTATTTAGCGACCAATTTGCTTAGCAACAGTTGTCAGTCCTGTGTGATACTAAATAAGGATTATCTGTATTAGCTTTAAAGGTTAGGAGGCTCCAGACTATTCTATTTCAAGCTGCAATAAAAATGTTGCAAAGTATAGAATTCTAAGAAGAAAAATAAAGTAACTGTTATCTCTGCTCAACAGATGCTTGTTCCCAATCCATCTTTGATTATTGCTTTGCACTATCTTTCCCTTTGAATATGAAGCATAGAAAACTATCACCATAAAACAGAGATTTAGCCACTGACTTTCAAGCTGTGGTTTCCAATATACATTTGTATTCTGACAGTTTCACTGTCATTTCTTTTTTAGAAAACCATTAAGAATGGTAATTTTACAGAAACATTCGCAATTGTTTGCTAGTAATATCCGTCCTCATTCTGTTCCTAATCTGCTTCATATAGTTAATACAAAATTAAACTTAGTATATTTTGTAAAAGTTAAGCTAGCTTAAGTTGCAATGCAGAATTGTATTCAATAGCAGAAACATTTTCTGTGCAAATACCTCAGCTATTTTTTCAGGAGAAGTCTCATTTTTATTATTTTTGAATTCTTCATTTATCTTAAGTCTTGCAGCTACATTAAAAAAGAGAGAATAGGCATTTTTAAAAAAATGTATTTATTCAGCTTTTTGTTACAGATAAAATAGATTCTTCTATAAAATTTATTCCCAGTTATGTTATCATAACCTTATGTGCTAATCTGAAAATATTTAAAAAGATGTAGTCTGTTTCCCCAATATTTAAGTTACAATATATATTACAAAATGTCACTAAAAGCCCCAAATGCAAGTTAAAAACTATTCCTTTGCAGTACTTTGAGGAAATTGAACATGAAACAGTTAATAGAAATCAGTATTTAAAGAAAGTTTACCTGACATATCACAAAGCAGCATAATTATTATCTTGGATAAGATAAGGCTCCAACAAGGAGATATTTAAATGTATATAAGCTCCCATTTTTCAAATGTGGCATAACGTGAACAGAATAAGAGGGTCTCTGATGCTCTCTGAGCTTGATTGTTTTTTTGCAGATGTTTCATTACTCAAACTAGGTAACATTATCAGTGCTACAGGGAATGAAGTTTTCTCTCATTTTATATTCCAGTGCAGGGGTGTCAAAATGCCAGCCCATGTGCCGGATGTGTCACGTGGAAGCTATGCCCACCCCAGCTCAGGCAAGGGGGAAAAAGTCACGATACGTTGCGACATGTCACGTGATGTGCGAGTTTGACAGCCCTGTTCTAGTGGCTTGCCTTGTCAGTGTTGACGGGAGTGGTGTTGGTGGTTCTTTGGTTGGGTTTTGTGTGGTTCTTTGTTGCTGTGTATTTGTGCGTATCTAAACAGTCCATTTGTTGGGATCCCTTTTAATACTACCAGCTGTACGAAATGCTATAGTTCTTTTTGAGACAGGACAAAATTCATTGGAAGCCAAGGCATCCTGTGCTGCACCTATACTAACTGTGTTTTATTCCAATTCAGGGTTATTTTCTTATTTTGATGACCGATTTATTAGTTCCTAGTTTAAAATTATAACCCATAAAATTAGCCGAATTGGCCTCTCTCCAGATTGCCTATTTTTAATGGGGCATATTTCAGTTTTTTGTTTATTAGACAAGGGCTCTAGGATATAAGCTCATAGGATTTGAGTAATAAAGCTAATTTATCCTGTTTTCCAGTTTATTTAGAAATGTATTATCAAAACAATTAGTGTATGGACTCATAGTTAACCCACACAAATCATAGTTCTTAATCAGGACATTTTTTGTATAGGAAGATTCCAAAGAATACCTCTTGTACAAAGATTTTACCTTTGTAATAAGTCAGAAGCTGACTCAGGAGATCATGTATTTTAGGTTTGTGTGAATTGTATACTGTATGATTTTTATTTTTCCTTTGTTTTTTTCAACCAGGCTTTTCAAACCATGTATATGTAATTTTCTCTTATCTAAATTTAGGCCTAATGCAGCCAAAATTTCAGCTGCCAGGATTAGATGCATGAAAAAACTTGTTTCTGGATGATTTGTTTCCCATGTGTTGTTTTCTTTTTTATTTGTTCTTGGGTCCTTTGATTGTAATAAATTTTCATTCAAGTTGATTTTTTTCTTATTTGCATTCAGTTTATTTATTCCAATGCATTTATTTAGAAAGCAGAATAACTTAATGTTGTACATTAAGTTATTCTGCTTTCTAAATAAATGCATTGGAATAAATATGTTGAATCAAGAGCAAAATATGATATTGAACTCATGAAGCAGAAGACCTTGATAAAAGGTCCAGAAAGTTTTCCTTTTTTTAAAATTTTCAGGAGAAATTTTAATGTATCCATAGCAAGGATGAGAAATCAAGGTTTAGAACATATAAATACATTCAGTGATGAAGCATGTTCTCATCTAGAAGTATATATATAGATGAAAAAAGTGAGCAACTTTGTTTTCCCCACTTCTTAATATGGAACACCTGCAAATGTCTGATTTTTTTTCAGTCCCCTTTTAGCTTGCAGTGAAGAGAAAGATTAAATTCTTGTTCCAGCAGCCCTGCTGCAACTTTAAAGTTTAGAAAGGTCTAGTGCTCAACACTTCTCCAACAGCTTCTGGGTGGTGAAGCTAGTAAGTCATCTTCTTCTTACACATATTTGATCTGAATGCATGTGTGCCAGTTTGAGGTTAGCCAGGCAGACTTTGCCTTTCTTCTGACTGAAGAAAACTTTTTTAGGTCATAAAGTAAGAATTGTAAATACATTTAGGCTTTGTATCTTTTAAGATAAAACATAGAAAGAAAGACTGAATAAACAGTGAAGCAACTACAATTCAACACTGGTGAGATTTTATAATGAAATAACGGGCTCAATGCATATACAGAATGTACACCGGTCCAGAAAAAAGCATAGATGCTCAAATACAACTACATGCTAGAATTAATAATCATACCTTAAAACTTTATTTTTAAAAACTATGCTTTTAAATAGCCCCCTACTGGGAAAAGGATTGAGCATTTGTTCCTTCAGTTCCTTTACCAAAAAAAACCCCACAAGAATTCTTACCGTCTAAGCTTCTGGTGTCACCTTTGAACACATTTTGCCTTGTCTTATGTAAAACCTTGAAAACTTTCAAGACCTGTAAATACAATAGAATGTTAAAAGTTTTACATTCTTATGTTAGAAAGAAAGCACCATTTGCTCAGTTAAATTTGAAGTAAGAATACCAGGGAAACAAAATATAGAAAATCTCCAAGAAAAAGCATTTCAACATAGGAGAATAAAATGAAAATGATTCCTAGAAATGAGAGCTGATGTAAATGCTGATATAACTAGCAACCTACATTCCTCCCTCTAATGTGGATACTGGTATGTGAAACTCAGCAGAAAAGACCATAATATGATAGGTATTATAATCATAAATTCCTTGCCTGATTCTTACAGTAGATAGGCAAGCCTCCAGAAAATGACAGGAAAGTGTTAAAGAAGACATTTTACAGGTATTTCAGAAATAATATCTGACATAATAAATATTTTTAAGTTTAAGTTTAATATTTTTTAATTTTAATTATTTTAGATTTGTATTTGGTATTTATGTGGGATTGTTTTAAACTGGCTGTAAGCCGCCCTGAGTCCTCCGGGAGAAGGGCGGGGTATAAATGAAATAAATAAACAAACAAATAAATAAATAAATAAATAAATAAGTAAGTAAGTTTAAAAAGGTTAGATTAGCCTTGGCTTTTATTGGTCTTATGGAAGAGTCTGAAGATTTTACTGTTCCCTTTTTTCTGGAATCTGGTAATGGAAGTGTGGAGCTTGCTAGATAGTTACATTGTTAGCACGTTGAACTGCATGCTTGCAGATTATGAAAAACCATAAAAAGACATAGTTTTTACTCTTTTAATGTATTTAATGTGTTTTTATGATTTTGGTTATTTTTTGTAATGGTTTTCTATTTTAACTTTAAGAGCTGCCACATATTTGAGTCAGGCAACATGTAAATAAATAAAATTTGAAAGAGAATATGTTATCTAATCTTTTGATCCTAGAACTGTGAGAGAAAGGTATTATTGAAAGGTAAACACTGCTTAATTAATATATAAACAAATTAAACTAAGAGAAATTTGACACTGTACTTTGAAAGTGCTTAAATGTGTTTGGTAGGCTGTTACACTACTGGCTTAATTAAAATAGAGAGAGACATCAGTAATGATATTGTTTTTAATACAGAGAATTAGCAATAAGAATTCTTATAACACTTATTTTTGCAAACCCATTTTTAATTTATAGAGAAATAGGTGGAAGATGAATTTTTAGAAAAGTAAAGTTACTGTTTCATTCTGACAGAGAGGAAAGAAATATATAAACATTTTGTAACTGGTAATACAGGATATCAGCCTCTTTGACTAGTGGAATGGGAAAATTTCCCATAAGTATACTAAGAGGTTGGCAGAAAGACCAAAATACACTAATGCTACTCAAAATACCCTCGTATCAATTTAAATGGAATGAATACTGTTTTATAGGAAGAAATAAAAATATCTTTATGAACTGAATTATCATCAAGGAAAAACAGTAAACAGCAGAGTAAAAAGACAGATTTACGGCTTTTTTTTTTTTTTTTTTTTTTTACAAAACTTAACATTTTTTAAACATGTACAGTTAATAGGAATTCCATAGATGTATCTTTCCTGTTCAAAAGAGGTATCGCCTGCTGTATTTCTGCTGGTTGAATAACTATTAAGAATACATGAGTTTAGGAGACAAAACAAAAGGGGCGACAGCAGCTTTTATGGGATTGAAGCAATAGACATTTCATCCCATTCAATGCATAATCTATGCATCCATTTAAATGAGAACTAATTTGGTGCAGTGTTTTAGCCATTAGGCTAAAAATCAGGAAAATGAATTTTAGTCCAACTTAGGCATGAAACCAGCTGGTGACCTTGGGCCAGCCAGTCTCTTTCAGCCTTAGGGAGACATAACAAACCATCAGTGTAAATCATGCCAAGAAGACTCCAGGGACTCCAGGCAGTTGCCAGGAATCAACCCTGAAGCACACATGCCATTTATAGAGGAAAAAACGGACTAAGAGAGTGGCTTACCAAAGACCGTGTGAGAAATTTAGGACTAATACATTACACTGAACTGTAACATGGTGTATTAGATGTGTTGTGTGAACCCAGATGTAAAGTGGTATACAATAGGGCTCTACAGCATTTTGGATGATGGGAAATTGTAATCTAATACAGTAGAAGATCCAAAGCAAATCATAAGAAAGCAAAAAGTAATTCTAAAAGAAATAAGCACCTTACTATCATTTGAACATCACAGCATAATCACTGGCTTTATCACAATCTCACTTTCAGGACCAGATTATCCGTCAGGTTAAAAAAATCAAGGAAGTTTTCAAGGATTCATATGCCGTATGCATAATTTGAAAATCAATCGGTCATAATAACAATGTCACAACAGAACGCAACTAACGTTGCTAGTTTCTGGGCAAGATCTGTTTAATTTGTACATATTTTAATCTTGTATATTTTAAATTTTAGGTCATATAGTATGCCTTATTTTAATTGTGATGCTTCCGACACGAATAAACAAATACAATAACCATATGGGTCAGGCAGTAAGAAAATCAAGAAAAAATGGGATACATCTCTTACACGTTCATCTGTAGCATGTACTCCAACTATAATACATGTGTTCATGTGTAGCATGTACACGTTCATGTGTAGCATGTACTCCAACTATAATACATGTGTTCATGTGTAGCATGTACACGTTCATGTGTAGCATGTACTCCAACTATAATACATTCCCATATGGCTCAAATAATGTTCTCAGCCCAACAGCAACACCGCATCTCTCGCCCCAAAACAGTATCTTGCCTGCGAAGGTACATCGGACCATCAACTAACCTCTGCCCTTCGCATTGCTGAACCGCTGCTCTTGGAGGAATCCCTATTATAGAGGTTTCCGGGAGGAACAGAGCCACGCCCATCAGTGCACGTCATTGGTTCTATGAGAATATTGTCTCACGACAACGACAAATCAGCGAATGGGAGGAGGAGGAGGAGGAGATAAAAGATGACTCGAGAGCTATACATATAGAATAGCATTATAAAAGGGAAAGCGGGAACATTTTTTGCAGGAAAGGAATAAATAGCATCAGCGTTCCTCTAACACAGTGTTGAGTTCTCAACCTTGTCAATTTTAAGGCATGTGGACTTCAACTCCCAGAATTCCACAGCCAATATTGAATATTGCTCAACCTCAGCAGCTTTTAAGATGCATGGACTTCAAATCCTAGAATTCCCTAGCCAAGCCGGCAGTTGGGGAATTTTTGGGAGTTGAAGTTTACACATTTTAAAACTTTCTGAGGTTGAGAAACATTGTGCCAGGCATACACACACAAAAAATGTGTTAACAGAGAAAAAAATAATGTTTTCCTTTGCTTCCAATTCACATGTCACGGAAACAGTAGCATTGTCTGATGCGATGCTACTTAGAGAAACATTAAAATAATAACATTGATTACTATAGAGGGTGAACAAATGCCTGAAATGAAAAAGCGACATTTATAAAGCCTTGTAATAATTTATGAGAAACGCTGAACTCATTCAGTGCATTTTTCCCAGTTTTTTTTTTTTAAAAAACTATTTCTAAAAGTTAAAAAAAAACAACTTTATTGCCGCATCGTACGATTGCGCCTCTGAGTTTGCTATTCCTCGGGAAAAGACGCGAAGGCGGAATAAAATGACGGGCAGGGGAATCGACCGGTAAAACGGGTGGCTCTATCAGCATATTGCTTTGATAGGGCAGTTTTGCCGCTTGTTTCCCATCCTACGCTTGCTATTGGTCAGTTCGAGGGGGTTGGGCCGGGTATAGAAGGCCCGACGGAGAGGGGGGCGGGCGCTGGGCGCTTCTCCTGCAGAGATGGCCGAAGAGGTTTGCAGGGCTCAGGCGGCTCAGCCGGGCGGGGACACCATATTCGGAAAAATCATCCGTAAAGAGATCCCCGCCAAGATCATCTTCGAGGACGAGAAGGTGGGGAAACCGGGGCGACTTCGGAGCCTCTTCTTCCTCCTCCGCTCAATGGGCGAGCACGCGCTTGCATGGCTGCGGCTGTAAATCAATTTGCCAGATCTATTTGCCTTTTTTGGCCGCAATGCCACGCTGAATCGGCATTCGCATGATTTCGAGCCATGCTCAGTGGCCGCGTTGGCTCGGGACTGTTATCTCGTGGCCTGTGGGTGGAGTGCCAAATAAAGCGAGTGCCTCCCTCTCTTCCCTCCCCAAGGTAGACTGTCTTTGCATCTGGAGGCTCTATTTTTCCTGCCTCCTTTTCCCCTCCCCCCCCCCAAACCGATCAAGGAGGACATGTTACCTGCAATTAATGGTCCACCCTGAATCTTATGTTTTATATTCTGAAGATTAAGTTTCTTAACATTATTTAGCATAATCCTAACCAGGCAGAAATCAGGGCACTTCCTCCCCCACCATTATAGTCTGTTCTCAATTACTTAGATAATTTTCAACCATTGGGCCCTTGTCTCTGCAAGGTGTTTGTATAATTTAACATACAACTAGCCTTGCAGGAATATTTTTTCCCCCATATCCTCATTTGTTTCACCCCAGATGAATAATGAAAAGAACAGGGAACGCTATTTACTATTTTGCACTTCAGAAGGAAAGGTGCAATATAAATAAGCAAATAATTTGACTTTTTTCCCAAAGTAACGACTGATAACAGGTTTTGTACATCTTTAGTGTACTCTTGGACTAGGTCTGACCAAGGGAGAAATCAGTGATATATTTAAAGACAAAGTAAAATGGTTTCACTGCTGTGCTGAGGACAAGCTAAAAAAAGATATGCCAGAGCATATTCTTGCCATGGCTAGATGCAAATGAAGAATTGTCTATTATGACCAAATCCAGTTATCCAATCATTTGCTTATTTATATTGAATAATACTGAAATGCAAAATAGTAAATAACATTCCCTGTTCTATTCATTATGCATCTGGGATGAAACAAAAATAGGAGGACGGGGAAAAAATCTTCCTGAAAGGCTAGCTGTATGTTAAATTATACAAACACCATGCAAAGACAAGGACCCAATGGTTGAAAATTATCTACGTAATTGAGAACAGACTAATGATGGGGGAGTAAGTACCTGATTTGTCACTTCCCTTTAAACCCAGCAATTAAATAAAATAAAATTGGTTTACACCAATTTTATTTAGGATTTCCTTAGGGCTTCTGAAGACATTCTGATACTTTCCTCTTTATGGCTCTATTTTGCCTACAGTCTTGTCTGTATTCACAGTTTATGATTGGAAAAAGTATTTTTGTTGTGAGCAGGGCTATTTTTAAGGATCCCAGTAGAGCTACATTTTTAAAAAGTTGTGACTAATTCAACAAATATGTCTTACAGTCTATTTCTCATAGTCTTCATGTCCATAACTTCTAATCAAGTTTTGCTTGAATTGTTAATTGTATTTTAAAATACTATTGTTATTGAGAGGGCAGGCCAGCATAGGGTAATATTTCATACAAAGTAGTCCAGCTAAAAACTTGTTTTCGGTTCATATGCTTACTTAAACTTTATATTCATTTTATAAAAGCTATTACTAAAGTAGTGCCTTTTTCTATTCAGTGCCTTGCGTTCCATGACATTTCTCCACAAGCTCCAACTCATTTCCTAGTGATCCCTAAGAAACATATTGCTCAGCTATCTCAAGCAGAAGATACCGATGCAGCTGTAAGTATTGCAAAAAAACCTTTTTATTAAATAACGGCCAGCTTTTCAATAAGAAGAGTTAACTTAAATTAAAATTTGAGAGATTTGAAGAAGGATGGTATGTTTTGGTATGTTTTCTAAATCAGCAAAAGCTCAAGAATTTTAGTTCAATGATGTAAGGCAGTGGTGGTGAACCTATGGCACAGGTGCCAGAGGTGGCACTCAGAGCCCTCTCTCTGGGCACGCGCGCCGTTGCCCCAGTCCTAGGCCTTCAGCTGGGTTTTATAAAACATTTTTGTTTAGGCCTTCGCGGCGTGTTCAAAAAAAAAAAAAAAGATTCAATCAGTCAATTTCAATTTCTTGTGGGAAAAAAAAGATCTTGCAAAGTTGGAACTGATTGATTGAACTTTTTAGTCCCACCCAGTCTGCCATTACCACTGCAGCTGTGCCCATTCAATGGGCCACACCCAGCCAATGGACCACACCCACCCGGCACCCGACGATGCATAAGTGGGTTTTGGGTTGCAGTTTGGGCACTCGGTCTCTAAAAGGTTCGCCAACACTGATGTAAGGTGATTATATTATACGTGTAATACTAACGGACATTTCAGTTTTCAAGTGTTTGTTTTCAAAGCTTTAACAAACGTTATGGATTTATTTGAAAAGAGTAAAAGACTTCCCCAGATTAGTTCCATGTTTGTCAACAAAAAACTATTTTCTTAGCTTATAAGGGCAGGAATCTATTATTAATAGCATGAGGAGAGGCGAATTTCTTGGAGAAGTCAGGCAATTTTTTTTCATTTTTCATTTTCATTTTTAAATCTCTGAGTTTCTGAGATAACATGTAAGTTAAGCATGAGAACCCAAAACTTGAATAGCAATTCTTGTTACAAGAACATCAATCAATTTCAACATAGTGTCCAAACAAATTGGAATACAGTAAAATCTGGATCGTTCTTATGGGTATAGAAATTGTGGCTGGACAACCCAATCAAACTTCATTGCCTTGTAGTAACTGTCTGTAAAGACCAGTGCTATCATTGTTAAGTTTCTACACAAGGTTTATTTGGATTGCATACTCTTATTCTAAACAAAGTTTATTTGTATTGCATACTATAATTATAAACATTTAGAATACAGTGCAATCAGACTTAACTTTCTATTGTTACATTTTCAATATAGTCTTAGGGTGATTGTACTGTACTGTATTCCTATACAGTAGCAGCAATGGCTAATAACAGATTTCTTAATAGCCTCTATTAATAATTAATAGCCCTAAGCTAAGAGAACGAACCCATCAGGACACGATTTCAACAGTCCATCTGCATTTAAATGACACTCTTTTGAAGACAGCAATTCCACATTTTGTACAAAGACGACCCGCTGGTTTGAAAGAGGGGTCAAAGAGGCCATCTATGTCAAAATTGAACAGTCCTCTCTCAACAGAGGAAGAGGGATATGACATCATCTATCTTCAGTCTACAGCAGGGGTGTCAAACTGCCAGTCCATGGGCCAGATGCGTCATGCCGAAACTGCGCCCACTCCATTGCCGGCAATGGAAAAAAAGTCACAATACGTCACGTGATGTTGTGAGTTTGACACCCTTGGTGTGTAGCACAGTCCTTTCAACTGTTCCAAGAAGGCTCCACACCCATTCACACTACTCAGGTGATCCTAATGACACACATAAACTTCCAGGTGGCCTCAACGACTCTCTAAAACAGTGTTTCTCAACCTTGGCCATTTTAAGATATGTGGACTTCAACTCCCAGAATTCCCTAGCCAGCCATGCTGGCTGGGGAATTTTGGGAGTTGAAGTCCACACATCTTAAAATAGCCAAGGTTGAGAAACACTGCTGTAAAAGAATGCAACGGTCCGGCTGTCTCTTACTTTTCCCAAGCCTCTTACTTTTCCTAAAGTTTTTCCTTGAATGGTTTTTAAAAGTTAGTTATAAAACCTCCAATAGAATATGAGGGAATGTTGCTCTGAGAGTATAGATTGCATCTTCTCTAAACATTTTTTTTACCAGTCTTAAAAAAAGGAAAAACTAGGTTTCACCTCCTCCCCTTTTTTTGCTGTCATTTTTCTGAGCTAATCTTCAGTGTAACAGTAAGTAAATCTGCTCTAAAGAACATTTGAGCAATGGCTGAATACGCAAGCTGCTTTG